AGAGGGCGATAAAGGAGAAATGATGGTGGGGGTTAATTCAAATATGATATATTTGATATAATGTAAGAACTTTTGTAAATGCTACAATGTACCCTCACCCAACACAACAATAAAAAAGAAAAAGATGAACAAAAACCAGAAAGAAGTTAAGTTAATGAAGCTCTAAGGTTTGCGAATGGAAATTTTAAAATACAAGCTAAGTAACCCTTATTTAAAATGTTTGGGACCAGAAAAGTTTTAGATTTTGGATTTTTTTTCAGATTTTGGAATATTTGCATATAAGTAATGAAATATCTTGGAGATAGGACCCAAGTCTAAACATGAAATTCACATATGTTTCATATATGACTTATACATAGCCCAAAGGTCATGCCATACAATATTTGTAATGCACCTGCATTTATACTGTGACCCATCAGTAAAGTCAGGTGTGGCATTTTCCACTTGTGGCGTTATATCAGTACTCAAAGAGTTTCAGATTTTGGAACATTTCAGATTTTAGTCTTTTGGACCATGGATTCTCAACCTGTGGTGTATTAGGGTTCACAGTCCAAAAATTTACCTTAATCAAACATATGATTAGTCATTGTGCTTATAGAATAACAAAGTTCCTTCTTTTCTGAATTCTGGTCTATAAGCTATTTTGAATTTCAAATCAATTTTTTCCAGAATGAAGAACTGTTTTTTAAGGTCATAGACATTCCTCGGGGAAGGGATGAGAGTCTGGCAAATAAGAATGGAAAATAGAGGGCTAGAGGTGTGGCTCAAGCAGCAGAGTACCTGGCAAGCGCCAAGTCCCAAATTCAAATCCCAGTACTGCCAAAAACAAAAAGAAGGGACAATTTCTCACCTGTTGGTATTACAAGTATGTGGTTCTCCACAGGACAAGTTCAAGTTATAATTCAAGATGAAACTTTGAAAAGATGCCCAGATGAAGCAGAGTATGGTGGTGCTCATCTGTGTTCCCAGCACTTGGGGGCTGAGACAAGAGGCTCATGAGTTTGAGGCCAGTATGGGTTACAAAGCAAGATCTTGTCTCAATTCCCACCACCACCATGATCAAACAGATGCCCAGATGCCTTGAATGACAGGAAGAGCCTGGAGCAGAACCAAGAAACATCATCATTCCATCCCCCTTGGATGAACACTACCAAAGCCACCCTGAACACCCTTTTTCAACTCTCTTCTGAAGGACAATAAGGAATATTTGCTACCAGGACCTGGTTGAAAAAATGACTTTGGCTCCATAAGGACTGATTCTGCTACCTGGTTCATTTTTGCCTCCCTGGTGCCTAGCACAGTGCCTGGCTACCAGCAGATTCTCAATCAACGTGTGAGCAAATGAACAATGAGAGGAGTGGATGACCAAATCTTTTTTGACCTCATTCTGTGGAATGAATGTTACAAGTGAAGAATAGTGCAATAGTGATTTATGATAATCCCCAGACCTTGAGGACCCTAAGGTCAGCCAGGTCTGACTCACCCCTCACTTAGGGACTGCTTGATCTAGAACACTGGTCAAGTCATTCTAACTCTCTCAATGCCTTAGTTTCTTCATCAGTAATACTGGGATAATAATTATCAACCTCCCAGGCTTGTTGAGAGGATTAGCTAAAATAATCTATGAATAGAAGCTAGTGCCCCATAACTATGACATCTTACTATTGACTTGAAAATGGCACTAAAATATCAAAAGGAGTTTCATAAAGAGGGCTTCTTATAAACTTTTACATCATTTCTCCTTTGTTATGAAAAGTTAAATAAAAAAGTAGAGAATACACTAGACTTCTGTGTACCTAATTCCCAGTTTCAACAATTTATCTGCTTGTGACCAGTCGCCCCCCTTCCTGACCCCTTGTAATTTTAAAGCAAAATATCAGACATGGTGACATTTCATCTGTTATACTCCAATATATATCTCTAAAAAAATATATATAATAACCAAAATCCCATGTCGCACCTAAAAATAATTAACAGTGATTCCCTACTTAGATGAACTTTTGGTCTGCCAGAAGGCACAAGGAGAAAGGAAGAAGAGAATCAAGACTGTCCAAGGCAGGAGCCTGGGCAAGTTCTTTCCAGACACAACATGATGGAGGAATCCACTGTCACTGTCAAGGTAGACTCTCCCTCCCGAGGGATAAAGGGAAGGCAGGAAGAAGGCAGAGAATGAGTTTGAAGCCAGCATTTTATGCCTGAAGCAAGGCAGAGAGAGGCCCCCAATTAACTGTCACAAAATGACATTTCATTTGAAACAATTCTGGCAAATTCTTCTGCTTCCCAATTAGTGAAAAAACATAGTTTAATCTTATCTTTTCATCTGCCTTGAGGCTTTTACACCATTTATGATATTACGCAATGAGAGGACTCACTGAATGTTGATAAACTGGCTTGGTTTCTGAAAGTTAACACAGCACAACAACTCATGTCTTTGGCAAATTCAGTTCTTAAAGAGTTTACACTTTTCCTCTTCCTCCTAATTTACTCTCATCAGTTCTACAAAGTTTGTAACTTACTGAAAACCCCAATTTCATTCTCTGCTGCTTTATATACAAAACCTTGAAATAGTCTCCTTTTCTTCACCTGAAAGAATTTGATTGCTTCAAAATAAGATATACCGGTGTTGAAGACATTGAACATCAGCAGTTCAGATCCAGATTATCACTCCCCACTCCCCCATTTAAAAAAGCAAGGTTGGTACAAAGTCTAGAATTCAGTGGCAATATCAGAAAGTAAGTGATGCTACAGAGGCAGGACCGGGTGCACCAAGACAGTGAAAAGGGAACATAGGATACGTTGAGTACAAATAGTTGATATATTCTCTATAAAAGAATGAATAGAGAAATCTTAAATCGACTGAAGCCACCATAAGAAAGGGACTAAGGTAGAATGAAGAAAACTAGAGGAGATGAACCAATTGTGGTTAGAATACATGGAAATTCCACAAGGAAACTCCCTGCATAGGTACCTTTATCTCAAACAAGCAAATACGTCATTTTTTCCCTTTTTTTCCTTTTTCTTTTTTCTTCTACAAAATCAGAGAACAGGAGCAAAATCATTAAAAAAAATTACAAAAAAGAAAATAAGAAAGCATAATTGATGGTTGAGCATGAGGGGCACCTGTCATCCCAGCTACTCCAGAGGTGTAGATACAAGGACTGTAGTCTGAGACCAGCCCAGGGCAAAAGGCATAAGACCCTATTTAAAAAATAATACCCAAAGCAGAAAAGGCTGGGAGCGTGGCTCAAGTGGTAGAGCACCTGTCTTGAAGCAAGAGGCCCCGAGCATTGCCAAAAATAAATAAATAAATATAAAAACATCAGTGACCTCATAGACAATGACAACTTCAGCTGGAGAAGACAGGGGTCTGGTTTCAGAACTCTGACACAGCACAGAGGTGCTGGAAAACCTGGTATTGTCCTTATAAGCCTTTGCATACAGCCTGGAATTTATTGTGTGACAATGGTGATGACCTTGTCCACTTGTGTCTGAGGACAGTCCTCCTGCCAGGACCCAGCTCCACCCAAGACCTCAGTGTCTCACTAGCCTATGTATCTAGTATTTCTATCACAAACACTGGGTGGAGGGGTCAGGGCTGGCCAGGAGGGTCTACCTTTGAGAATGGCTTCCCTTCTGCTCCTTTCTTCATGTGGAAAATCAATCTTCCCCCTTTCTTTGACCCCGTTCTCTAGCTGTCCTTATAGCTCTTCCAGTTTTCCCTTAGCCTCCTACAGCTCTAGTCTCAGCTAATCTTTGTGGTGTGTGGGGAGATGAAGTGACTTCGCAGTCACCTTTTGAAACATTTTATCTCCTATTTAAGAAGGAAAGAAAGAGAAGTCACAGCCTTTTCTTAGTTAGTTATTGTCTATGTCCCCACCTGCCGCGAGAGGTAAGCTTCAGGAAGGCAGGGGCTGTCTTGTCTGCAGCTCAGAGCAATGCCTAGTTTATGGTAGATCAACACACATTTCTTAAATGTGAATGAATGAATGAGTGAATGAATGAATACTGCTCAGCAGCCATCACTATTCCTCATCAAGGGAACTGTTCCACTGAGAACCTGAACAACAATGACTATACTAGAGAAAAAGACGACAGAATTCATTTCCTCTTTTAACCTCTGGAGTCTGTTGTTTTAACAACTCCCCAAAAAATTTTATGACGTTCTTATGCTTCAGTTGTATAGTTTAGCATCTCTAAAAACATGTGGAATTTTTTTTGTAAAGCGATGTAATGAATCATATGGAAAGAAGATGACCTAATTCGATCAGATTTCAAAGAAGATATGAAAAAGACCTAATGTCACTCAACCCATTAACACACTCCTCCACATTCAGGGTTTTAAGACATCGTGTAGCTTGACAGGCTCAAAAATCTTTATCAAGGTTGCTGAAAATTGGGAGTGGAGAAAAGTGGGATGGAGAAGAAAGAGGCATGGCTGAAGGTGGCTCAAGGCTGTCATGGGAAGGAGATGCATGTACAGAGGTAGTGGGTGCCTGAGGCATACCAGGAAGGTTAATTGGGGAGCTACCAACAAAAGGAGGAACAGAAAGAACCAGTGAGAGGTTTCCACTCTGAATAAAATTGCCAGGGGTGCTGGTGGCTGTAACTGCCAAGCACAACACTCACAATCGCCCTGCAGGCCAAGTCCTGGTCCCTGGCAGTCTCCAGAATCTTAAGCCAGATTTCTTAAGGCAGGTGAGTTGCTTGATTCACTCCCCTGTGTACAGCTTGCACAATTTGGGTCCTACCTTGCCCTTGGGGCCTGCTAGAAAAGCCCCAACAAAAACACTCTGTAGTATAAACATGACTTACAGAAAATGGTTTTGGGTTTTGTTTGTTTTGAAGTGATTCTTATACTATAACAGATGGCAAAATAACATAATGCAACAAAATAAATTTATATCAAGTAAACAATTACTATTGGCTAAGCCCAAAAAGGGGGTGGTCAGCTTGCATTTTATAGTTCCCTCTTCCGAGTTGTCACCTCAGTGAAGGGAACACTGGCTGCCTGACCATCCCACTTGCCACCATGACGCCTAAGCATTGCTTTCTAGCCTTCCTTATCAGGTTCCTCCTGGCTGGCAGAGGAGGTAAGTCCTTCCTTTCCTCACTTTGTCACTTGAGTCTCATCGTGGGGTGATTAGAAATTATATTGGTGCTTTTCTGGGCTTTGTAAAGATTTCAGCTTTGTTAGGTCACTAAATGGTCGTAGCTGGCATGGGATCACTTTCTCTCTGCAGCTGATAAGTGGTGCCTACTACAGAGGAGGTTCTCTCATGGGTGCAAGGAACTTCCTAAGGGCCAAATGCATGCACACCTCTCTCCCTGAGTTAGAATTTGTTTTCCCTTGAAGGGACACTAGCAAGTAGTGGTTATAAGCACAGGCCCGTAAGCTAAACCGTCAGGGTCTAGAACACCCTGTGCCTCAGTTTTCTCGTCTGTGGAATGGTGGTGTTAGGTCACTGTGAAGATTCAGAGAGTTGATGTGTATGCAAACTACTTAGAGCAGTGTGTGTACAGAATAGGGACTAGAAACAACTTGAGATAATTCATGGTTGGTGTTTGCAGAGAGTTCTTCGAGTGTGCAGAGCATCTTATCAGCACAACGTACCTGTTGGTAAGCCCCTGGAGTCCCAACTCAACAGATGGGTGCTCTCAGTATAAGTGGCTTAAGGAAGTGCCCACAACCATTGCCCATACCATTGTTCCATGACTATTCAGAAAAGTAACCAAAGCTCCCATTCACTTTCCGGAAATCCATGAATTAGTGTAGCCTATGCCTCTCTCTGGCCCCTAGTAACAACAAGGACTCATTTAGCAGCAATTCAATGCTACCAAAATGACAATGGCCCTGCATTGTACAAACAAGATATACAACTTGGGCATGATACACAACTTCTTTAAGCCTCAGCTTCCATATCCAGAAAATTCAGTAATAAAAACACCTACCTTATTTGGTGGTTGTGGGAATTAGATAGATCGAGAAGAACTGGTATGGAGCTAATACCTATATGTTATATGCTGACTATTCATAGCTGTTTAATGTTCAGTGAATGTCAATGAAGAGAAGGAGGAAAAGAGAGGAAGGAGGAGGAAGAGGAACATTCTCAGCCTTTAGGTGCTCTGCTCCTTCCATTAGCTCCTCTCTCCCGAGATTTTGTTCTTAGTTTTCTGTGGCCAGTGAGAGGCAGGCTCTGGAGTCAGACTACCTGAGTTCAAAATCAGATTCACCATTTGCTGCTAGACAAGTTCTTCACTATCCTAGGCTTGGTCTTTAACCTGTAAGAGGAAATCTAGAGTAGTACCATTCTCATGGAATTGCTAGGAAGTGTAATGAGTGCATATAGCTAAAAATCCCTCAGTGCCTGGTGCACAGTGAGTTGTTATGGTGTGTGGGTAGTAGGAGTGAAGTTGTTAGAGAAGTGAGAAAAGAGGGGGCAGACACAGTGGCTTATGCCTGTAATCCCAGCTACATGGAAGGTAGAGTTAGGAGAATTGTGGTTTGGGACTAGTCCAGGCAAAGTGTTAGGGAGAGCCTTTCTAAAAAAAAATAAGCCAAGTGTAGGGGGGCAAACCTGTAATAGAAGCTAAGAGAGAAGCAGAGGTAGAAAGGCCATAGTCCAAGGCTGGCCTGGGAAAAAGTGTGAGACCCTATGTGAGGGAAGGGAAGGGAAGGGTAGGGAAGAGGAGAGGAGGGAAGGGAAGGGAAAGGAAGAGGAGGGGAGGGGAGGGGAGGGGAGAGGAGGGAAGGGACTTTACTGTGTATCAAAATCATCACAATGAAGAGTAAAAATGTTGATTTCTGGCCTCCACCTCCACTACCTGCACTTAAAGCAGGGAATCCTGACACAGGTATTACATTTAAAAACTTGCGCTAATAACAGTGCTCATAGTAATGTACAATGCTTTCCTTCTCTTGCTAATTTAGAAACCCAGCCAGTCCATGATTCTCTGAAGCCCCAGAAGGTCCAATTTCAGTCTCGAAATTTTCGCAACGTTTTGCACTGGCAGCCTGGGAGGGCCCTTTCTGGCAACAGCAGTGTATATTTTGTGCAGTACAAAATGTGAGTACATTGAGCTATTCCTCTAACTGACAGAAGGCTATAGGGAAAACATGTTCTGGAATGCAGCAGAGTGTTAAGATCTGGACTTTATTCGGGGGGTTTCAGAGAGCTGAAAAGAAGCTGAGATGGGGACCGAAGTGACTTTCTTCTAGGAAGGCTGCCTGCTGACTGGAAGTTATGATGACATGAGGACTCCAGAATACTTGGATCCTTTCCTGTCTCTTTAATATTTTCACAATGCTGATTTATAGTTTTGAAAACTTTCATTTGGTTGTATGCAATTCATGTGGGCTTACTGATAAAATCTGTGCTCTTTCAAACAGGACAAAACAAGGTATTATGTTATAAGAGAAGTCAGTCATTACAGCTAAGTTTAGCTAGCCAAGACAAAATCTCATCAATGAACAACAATTAAAAACCATCCAGTTGTGCCCTGTGTTTGTTGTTGGCTCAGCTTTAATCCTAACACTGAACACTGCCATCGCTGTGTAGACTGCAGGGTACAGAGACCAGCCATATTCCTCATTACATGGCTAGCAGGGTAGATTTCAAGTCCTTCAACAAGGGGATCCTTTCTCCCCACCCTCTACCTCCTGTCTGCTCCCCATCATCGCCTTACTGTGTTTGCTCTGATTTGTGACTGGTAAGGTAGAATGCTTGTCTTCCCTTTGGCTGTGACAATGTCCCCTCAGCCCACCTGTCTGCCTCTTTACCTTGCCACCTTTTTGCAATGGTTTTCCTCTGTCTCTTCCTGCCCCCGAATCACAGAGCTCTGTACAGAGCCCTGACTATACTTCCACTCAGTTTTCAATAAGGAGATGAGCAATGCGTGTTAGGTAAGCTTCACCTGAGGTGACAGGCAGTAGTAACTTCTCAGAATCAGTCTTCTTACTCAACAGCAAGCTGATGAGAAGTGGTGAAAAACCACAAAGAGTTGAAACCTCAAAAACAATAAGGATGTGGAAGATGAGTACTTAAAAATGGAAGCTGGTTCATAGACCAGAGAACTACTTGACTAAGTACTAAAATATTAAAACTCCAGTGTCAGTGATGCAGGTGTCAAGGCTGCATATATCCTCACCAAGCTTGCCCTTTGGTTAGCAAGAAGGAAATGTTAAGTATTCTTAAAGATCACCATAGTGGCACTGATGTTAGCTGGCAGGTTTCAACCTGCATAAAAAGTAATATACTGGAAAAACGGAAGGCCCCTTTGATGAAGAAAACACTGGGATCATTGTTTTCCTCCCTTTTCCAGGTATGGACAGAAACAATGGGAAAATAAAGAGGACTGTTGGGGGACCCAAGAACTCTTTTGTGACCTTACCAATGAAACCTTAGATCTGCAGGAGCCTTATTATGGGAGGGTGAAGACGACCTGGGCTGGAAAGTACTCAGATTGGAGCTTGACGCCTCGCTTCACGCCCTGGTGGGAAAGTGAGTTTGTGTGGTTACTTTACCTTTGTTCTTCCTGCCCTTGAAGAGCCTCCCAAAGCTCAGGCAGACCCTGGACTCTGCTGTGCTCGGGCCTCTGCCATCCCACTTGGCAGACTCCTCGGAACAACTCTATGGGGAGTAGCCTTTAGTATGCTCATGTGACGGCCCAGGAAATCAAGTGCACAGGTTCAGTCATTGCACAAGTTTCGGGCCTATATTGCTTGAATGGGGGTTCGAATTCTGCTCTATTAACTGCAGTCTTCATTCTGACTCTGACATGCTGCCAGATCATTACTTCTTTAAAAAAAAAGAAAGTATGTAAGGAGGACAGAAACCATATTGTGCAATCCTCCCACAAATAAGAGGGGTTAAGTTCCAGAAAATACTCATTTTAGAAGAATTTTCTGTTGAGGAAATGAAGACTTTTAGTTGCCTCCCCAAAAGGACAGCCAAAAGTACTCTCTCCGTATCCATTTCTGGATACTGTTTATTCCTTTCCTACTTCAGTCGTAATCACAGATCTAATAATCTAAGATGTAAATTATAAAATTAACTGTTATCAACAGATATTATATAAAGTATCACAGGAAAGGAAGAGAGAAAAGAGAGAGGGTTATAAAGATACAAATAACAGGAAAGAAAATACGAGCATTTTGCATTATCCTCATAGTTGTGAGTCATGAGGCTGTACTTAGTACTTATAAACTCTATCCTCATTCTTAACTCATCCTTCACTTTCTTTTCAGCCAACACCTCAGTTCCTTATTCATGAAGAATCCTTTTGGTCTTTCTTGTATTAGCTTGACACAACCTTACATTAATTTCATCACTGAATATAGTTTTAAGGGGCATTTTAGAGGATACCTAGCATTCTTCTACCTACCCCACTGCATTTGTAGCAACTGTATTCCCCTTGATAATCAGAACTGCTCACCCCAGAGCGTGCAACAACCTCATTTTCCCTTTGTTGGTTAAATGATACCAGGAACTGTAAATGGTTAGGAGACAGCCACAACTTCCAATTCTTTGAATTTTTTTTTTTTTTTATAAATCAGAAGAATTAAAGGTCAAGCTTTTTGGAAGCAAAAATTTCATGAGTTGCTCACCATGTGTAATAGTGAGAGCTGTCTCTCTCACTTGCAGTTTTAAATCCTAGACCAGCGTATTCTATGTTGGTCACAGGTTTAGAGCATATACCAATTCACATTCCACTTCACATGGTAACTGTCTCTCAAACTGAGATTTCAATTATGCATTTCACCTTATAAAGCCAGAGAGTTCTGAGTGATGAGATATATGGTAAGGCAAAATAAGCCTGTGAGTATGAGACCTCACTTTTTCTTCCACAGTAATAGCTTCTTTGTCATAAACGATGTGGTGTGGAGTAACAAGCAGATGGATAGGGCATTCATTGCATCTCTGGTTTGTTGTGGGGGAGGACTCTTCCAATAAAACCATGAGAGCAGCAAAGAAAACCCATTGAAATAGAAGGGTGCATTCCAATGTTTCTTGCCCCCTCCCTGTGAGAAGATACCAGAAAAACAAAGTCTACCTGCAGCCAGGTGGCAGATGAGCGCCTCTGGAGTATTGCACCACAATAAGGCCTCAACATTGGTTTTTTCTGGGCAGTTGGACCATTAGTTGGGTCAGCCTGACCTTTGTAAGAGGAAGTCCATGTTGTTGAGTCTATGCAGAGGCTCCTTCACTTACAATAAGGTTATGTCCCAACGAAACCCTTGTAAATTGGAAATGTCATAAGTCAAAAATTAATTTGTTATAGCTCACCTACTGAACCTCACAACTTAGCAACACAGTGCACTGTGATGTTGGGTGTTTCCCTGCATGATTGCAGGGCTGACTGTGAGCTGCTGCTTCTGCACTGCCCAGTGTCACAGAGAGAATCTTACTGCATATGGCTAGTCTGGGAAAAGAGAAAGTTCAAAATTCTGTAGAAAGTATAGATTCTACTGAATGTACATCACTCTCACACCAGTATAAAGTAGAGTCATCATAAGCCGGGGACTATCTATATAGCCTCCATCCTGTTCAAACAACCATTTTGTTCATGAGCTTATAAAGTCCTGCTGGATATGAGGGAAACAGAATGTCACTATGCCTACCTAGATCTTTTAGAGTATTATTGAGATTAATCCACTCACCTTACAACTTAACCATATAACATATAAAGTACAATGGTTTTAATATAGTCACATGTATGTATAAATATCACTCACAGTTGATTTTAGAACATTTTTATCATTTCAAAAAGAAACTCCATGCTCTCTGGCTCTCACCTTCTTACCCCTTCATTCTCACAACTCCCCAAATTTTAAGCAACTACTAATCTACTTTCTGTCTCTATGTGGAGTTCCCTCTTCTTGACTGAATCACATAATATGTGGTCTCTTATAACTGGCTTCTTTCCCTTACAATAATTTTTTCAAAGTTTATCCATGCCTTAATACATATCAATATTTCATTTCCTTATATGGATGAATAATATTCCAATATTTGTGTGTACCACCTTTTATATCTGCATTCCTCAGCTGATGGACATTTTGACTGTTATGAATAATGTGCTATAAACAAGTTTGTGTGGAAATACATTTTTCTCTTAGGTACATACCTAGGATTAGAATTTCTGGGTCTCATGATAGTATTATGTCTAGTCATTTGAGGAACTAGCAGTCTGCTTTCAAAGCATCTTCCATTCCCCAGGGCAGTGTGTGAGTGTCCAGTTTCTGCACATCCCGTCATCACTTCTTACATGACTCTTGATTCTAGCCATCCTAGTGGCTATGACATGGTATGTCATGTGGTTTTCATTTGCATTTCTCTGAAGCTCAAAAATGTAGAGGTCTTTAGATGTGTTCATTGGCCATTTATATATCTCCCTCAGAGAATTCATAATTCAGATTCTTTACCCAATTTTAAAATTTAACTGTTTATTTTTGAGCTGTAAGAGTTCATTATCTATTCTGAATGTCAGTCCCTTATCAGGTATAATTGTCAAATATTTTGTTTCATTCTTTTGGGTGATTTTTCACTATTTTGATGGTGTCTTTACAACACAAAGGTTTTTAGCTCGTTGAAGGCTAATTTATCTACTTTTTCTTTTATACTTATACTATTGGTGAGTAGTTTGCCAAGAACAGTTTGCCAAATCCAAGTTCATAAAGGTTCGCCTTATGTTTTAATAGACTCTATTTTATGTTTAAGTCTTTGATTCATTTTGAATTAGTTTTTATATACAGTGTGAGGTAAAGAGTCAATGTCATTTTTTTTATGGCTGTCCAATAGTCCCAGTACCATTGGTTAAAAAGACTAGTCTATTTCCCTTATTGAAAATCTGTTGTGCGTAGAAGTGTTTATTTCCAAGCTCTTGATTCCATTCCAGTGATGTATATATCTGTCATTGTGCCAGAATCACAATGTCTTGATTACTGCTGCTTTGTAGTAAGTTTTGGGGAAACATGAGCTGCCCTACTTTGTTATTTTTCAAGCTTATTTTGGTTATTATGGGTCCCTTGCAATTGCTTTGCCATAGGTGACTGCTGCATCACATTCATATGGACACCAAAATAGTCGCATTCTGGATCTTAAATTCTGAGACATCTTACATTTCATTGCAAAGGGCCAAAGGAGACAAGGTAGGAGAGAAGGGTAGAGGTTACTCGGTTACAAGCTGTAGGTTGAAAAGGCCAAAAGAACAAAACTATACTCTTGAGTGTATATTAAAACTTTAACTCAAGTCTCATCAAAGCCAACCACCAAGACTACTGTACCCTGTCACATAAAAACCACCATGACTATTATTATTTTTATTTATTTTTGGTGATGTTGGGGTTTGAACTCAGGGCCTCACACTTCCTGGGTAGGCACTCTACCACTTGAGCCACTCCACCAGCCCTCATTGTGACCATTAATCCCAACCAATCCAGAAGGAGCAGTTACTTCCTACCAACTGACCTCTTATCCCAAAGCTTTCCCCACTTTGCATAACCTTGGCCCTCTCATCTATATCAGGTGTAGGCTCAATGTAATCAGTACTTTCCTTCCCCAAAGTTTATAAAAATACTCTTACTTCTAGGTCCAGCAGACATTTTCCAGCTGCTACCAACCTTCCTATTGGTAGTTGTAGGAACTGTCCCAGGAGGTCTTCTTTTTCTGGCTAACATCTGTAATGGCTTAATAAACTCTTTTATTCCTGAGATCCTTTGATCTCAATAGTTTTGGGTGAATAATACTGTGGATCCATCCAGTACCTCTTCTAACTGGTGCAATGTCCAATTAGATCGAAACTAACGGGATCATGTCCATAATGGTAAACACAATAGAACTCAGGGGGAAAAAAGTTTTGTTTTTGACTTGGCTGGTTGGTTGGTTTGTGTTGTGTACTTTCCAATTAGCAGAAGGGAGGAAAGGAATTGAGCAAATCAATGTATATGTAACACATTGTTTCTTGGGATAACTTGACGCTCAACCACAAGACACTCAATAGACAATTCCTTAGTAAGGAAAAGAAGATTGCACACTAAGCTGGTGTATACCAATGAGGGGAATCTGTGAAGTACTTCATTATACTCAAGCCTAGAAACGGGATCACATTCAAATAACTCATCTATGAAGCCTCCTGTAGTCTGATCCATTAGGCCCATCAGGTAACTATAGCCAAAGACACTGGTTGAGATGAGGTGACACTTTGTCTCAATCATACTTAAATTGGAATAGCAGTTAAGAATGATTTAAGTTCTCTCTACGTGATCACTGTCCATAAAAGAAAATAAACCTTGGGCAGAGTTTTTTAAAAGCCTTTTTATGCAAGGTCTCATAGGTAGAAGAGTAAGAAATCCAGTCTACAAAACAGTTAAAATTGAAGCTAGTCTTTAGAAGCAATTGTGAGGCACTCTACCCACTCAGCTGCCTCCTCAGCCTCTTGCTTGGCCCTCTCCTCCATGTTCCTAGACCCTGAACTAATGAGGGCCTATATGCTTTGGCTCACTTGAGGCCTGTTCTGAGCAGCGAGATGTTATCTCTCATTAAGAAGTTCTGATTCCTGGTGCCTCTCTAGAGGCAAAGCAAGATTAAAAAGAAAAAAAAAACACTTAAGTTAAAATAGCATTTGATGCTTTGTAAGATTTCAATATTACCTGTCCCCAGAATTTCTTAGATAAAAATATATGTGAACTTTCGGATAGGCCTGATATTCTAATAGTGTAGGCTACAGTCAGATTAAAGGATCATCTCGCCTCTTCACTCATTCAGCAATTATTTATAAGGGACTTACTATATTCCAGGCATTCTTCTAGGTCCTAGAGGAAATAGGGCAAGCCTGGCAAACATATAGAAGTCTTTTTCTTCCTAGAGCTTTGTGTTTTGTAAGGAAAAGAGCTATGAATAAAACAATCACACACCAGTAAAATGATACTGTGACAGGTGAGACAAAAGAAAGATGCACAGGCATATAAGATCATAGCCCAGGAGGGACCTGACCAGATATGTGTGGGGAGGGGACCCTTGAGCTGATACCTGAAGATGAACAGGGCTAATCAGACAGAGGGTCAGTAAAGCATTCCAGGCATAGGAAGAAGCTCTCTGGCAAGACAGCTGGTATGGCGAAGTAGGGCAGGTAAGAGGGAGTGTGAAATGAGGTGAGACTGGAAATGTGTGCCAGGCAATGAGAATTTTCTGTTAAGGAGCTATACTTCCTCCAGAAAAAAATGTAATTTTGAGCAACTTTTTTTTTTTGGCAGTGCTGGGCGTTGAATCCAAGGCCTGGTGCATTCCAGGCAACCAGTCTACCATTGAGCTACATTCCTAGCCCCCTAAATGTAATTTTAATTAGAGGAACACATGATCAGTTTTATGTGGCCAAGTTCACTTTGGCTGCATTGGAGAAACAGATCAGAAAGAGGATAGAGTGGATGCAGGTATGTGAGGAATAACAGGCTACCATAGAAAGCTATAGGAGACAAATTTTGGCTTAAATCAAGACAATGACAAGGACTATAGAAAACATATCATTGGAGGGCTGTTTAGTCAGAATTTTTCAGGATTTGGTGACAGGTTGGGTAGACTGGCAAGGAATAGCATGTCAAAGATGATCTCTAGGTCTCTTTCCTGCATAGCTAGATAGGATGGGATTTCATGGGAGCACAAGTTTTGAGGTATGCAGGGCAATCAGGATTACAAGTTCCATTTTGAATTTTTTTTTTTTTTCGCGGTACTGGGGCTTGAACTCAGGTCCTTGAGCCACTGCACCAGCCCTGTGTTTTGTGAAAGGTTTTTTAAGATAGGGTCTCCCAGCTATTTGCCTGGGTTGGCTTCGAACTGTGATTCTCCTGATCTCTTGCCTCCTGAGCTAGGATTACAGGTGTGAGCCACCGGCGCCTGGCTGAATATGTTGAATTTAAGATGCTTTGAAATCTCTGAGTCGAATGTCTGTACAGATTCAGGACTTAAAGGTAAAGTCTTTATTAGAGTCATAAGTCATTTGTAGATATTGCAATGGACTTTGATAAGATTGGCTGGGAAGAGAGCACTGAGTGAGAGACAATTTGTAAAACCAGATACAAAGGGAATCTCATCAGAAAATGCTAGAGTAGGATAAATTTTAGAAGGGGATTTATGAGGACTAGACAAAGAGGTTAAAATAAATCAGTTGATTGATGTATTCATGTGCAGAGAATGTCTCAAGGAGAAAGAAATCTGGGCATGGGGTTGGGGTGCAATTCAGCAGTACAGCATTTGCCTAACATATATGACGCCCTATTCATCTCAGCACTGGTGCCAAAAAAAAGGTGTGGGGGAGAGAGTGGTCATTGAGTAAAGTGCTGTGAGGCCAAGTAATCTTGAATTGGTCTTGGAACACAGTTAGAATGGATGAGTGGAGAATGGTTACTCTGTTGCAAAGTCCAGCCTCACAGGTCACAGACCAGGAGCCTCTGTGACGCTTGCAGCTCAACTCAGCTCACTGATTCTTCTAGGCCAATGCCTGAAGTATGCACTTCCCACAAAAGGTGAATAACACTGTATTTAAGATTAACTGTAACACTGACCAATTAAAATCTAAGATAAAGAGTTGATGTACTTATAATATGATTTTTCATAAAGATCTATATTCAGAATGTACAAAGAACTCTTAAAAATCAATAATAAGACAGACAAGCAATTAAAAAATAAACAAAAGACTTGAACAGGCTCTGCACAAAAGTGGATAATCAAGTGACCAATAAATCTGTTAAAAGTTGTTCAATTCCATTATTAGAGAAATAAAGCCTAAAAACACAATGAACTAGTACTACATACTTACTGCAATGGCTGAAATAAAAAAATTTGGAGATAATAATGCCAAATATTTAAAGCATATGAAAAAATAGGACCTTTGATTTATGTTTGAAGGGACTGTTAATTGGTATAGTCATGGTAGAAAATTGACAATATCAACAAAACCTAAAAATATGTAAACCATATGACCCAATGGAACTCCTAGGTACATACCTGACAAAATGCATGTTCCCACAAACACATATATAAGAATATTCATAGCAGTTTACTTATAATAGCCCTAAATAGGAAACAACCTAAAAGTCTGTGAATAACCAGGGATAAATTATAATATTCATGCAATTGTTCAAAAGAAGGAACTACTGATACCTGGAAAAATGAATATGGATGTGTGCATGTATATACACATACAGACATATGTTTTTGTCTGCACACATATATTTGTTTGTTAAAGCTGCCATAACAGGACTACAAACTGGGGCTTTGACAAGAGTTTGTTTTCCCACAGTTATGGATGCTGGAAATCCAAGATCAAGGTTTTCAGCAGGCACTGTCTTTAACTATAGTTATATTCTGAGGTATTACGGTAGGGAACAAAATCCAGCCTATACTGATGTGTATGTTTAAGTGAAAGAAGTCAGACCAAAAAGTATATATTGTATAAAGGTATAAGTGATTGTAAGATTTATTTCAAAATGAATCTACATGGTAATAGAGGTCAGGAAAATCATGAAGTGGAGAACTAGGGGGACATAAAGGAGGTTTCTGAGGTGCCTATAACATTCTGTTTCTGGATCAGGTGATAGCTTTATAGGGGTGTTGTTAGTAAACAAATCTTTATAATTTATTTATGTCTATCTTATATAGGTATATCTTATGTCTTTAAAATAAAATTTCAAATGAAGCTACAAAAAGAAAGTATCAACTTTTGAATAGGTGCTCACAAAAACACACAAAAAAACAGATACATACAAACAAAAAATAAGCAAGACACGACCAGCAGTTCAAGTATTTTATAATATTAGAAGTAGATGATTAAAGATATAGCACAGGGACTCAAACATAAGTGAAGGACAGAATGTTATTTGCCTTAAAAGCAGATGGACTGAAAAAGATTTAAACAGACCTCATAGAAATGAAAAGTTTAAATCATTGAAAAATTTAAAAATCATGTATGGATTAAAGATCAGATTAGACATAACTGAAAAATAAGCTGATGGGCTAGACAACAGGGCTGAAGAAATTTAAAATTCTCCACTGAGGAAAAAAGATGAAAAAATAAAAGAGAATCTAAAACACATGAAGAAGAGAATAAGAAGTTCTAGTAGATGTTGACTCAAAATTCCAGAAGAGCATGTTGATAAATGGACAGAGATAGACCAGTAGGTAGGTAGGTAGATAGATAGATAGATAGATAGATAGATAGATAGATAGATAGATAGATAGGTTGATAGATAGATAGATGGATGATAGGTAAATAGATGATAGATAGATAACAGATAGGTAGATGGATAGATGATGGTGATAGATAGATAGATAGATGATAGATGATAGATAATAGGTAGATAGATTATAAATAGATGATAGATGATAGAGAGATGCACAGATAGATAATAGATAAATGATAGATAATAGAAGACAGATAGATGATAGATAGATTGACAGATGGATGATAAATAGATAAATAGTTGATAGACTGATGGATCATAGATAAATGATAGATAGAATGATGGATGATAAATAGATAAATAGATGATAGATTGATAGAGGGATGCTAGATAGATGATAGATAGATAGATAGATAGATAGATAGATAGATAGATAGATAGATAGGTGTGATATATACATATCCATTTCTTACTTATAGACATACATGGAGAAGAGAAGGAGAGTGAATGGCCAGTTCTCAAGAATTAGAAAAGATGTGAAATCTATAAACTGGAAATCACAATGCATACCAAACAAGAAAATCAATGCTTAGAAATTCAGTATTGAATCTGGGGACAATTGAAATGATTGTGCATGTGGTTCTCTTTCTTTGTTAGTAATGATCTGGTTTTTGGGAACTTTTAAAATGCATATCAAAAATTCTCTCTTTTGATTTTCCAATCCTTTCCATAATATGGAAAAAACTTGGGCAAATTTTATAGCTATAAATCTTCAAATGGTTTTAATGCTGCTTTGAAATTGTACATCTTTAAGGATCTACCTTAAATAAGGTAGATAATATCTACCTTTCTGTAAGATCTCCCAACAAATAGTTTTTTATACTTAATTTTCTAAAGCAATCACTGTGGGCTGAGGAAATGATTAATGGTCTCTTAATGCTGAAATAGAAGGTGTCAGTGTTTGCAAATTTAAAATTATCTTCAAAGAAACTTCTCAGATGTTTGTATTGTAGGTTCGTAATGATTTTTCCAGATTTCTAAATTTTATGTCTCACCATGACACAGAGCATATCCATGTGTAATAGTTCATGTTTTCAATGACTTGTCAAATTTTCTTATTCTTTCTCCAGTGAAAATAGATCCTCCAGTCGTGAATCTAACCCGTGTCAATGGATCTTTGTTGGTAGTTCTCCATACTCCAGATTTGCCATATAGAGACCTAAAAGGAAAAAACGTATCTGCAGAAAATTACTATGACTTAGTATACCGAGTTTTCACACTTAATGATTCACTAGAAAAGGTAAATCAGATGAACACATGTTAGTATTTTTTATTGTTTATTGTCTTTTGTTCTGTTTTTTGACTCAGGAGCTCACAATGTAGTCCAGGCTGGTCTCAAACTCCTGATCCTCCTGCCTCAGCCTTCCTGAGTGCTGGAATTACAGGTGTGCACCACCTGCCCAGCCTCTATTGTGTATTTAACTAACATTTTGGCCATATTTTATATTCTCTCTCTTGCTACACTTATCTCCTTTTATTTTTCCCTACCTTTTTAAATTCTTTCTCACTTTTACCCTCAATGATAAACAATTAGCACTTGTATCACCACCAGTATTCATGTGAGTATATATTGCATGTGTGTATGTGTGTGGGGTGTGTGTGTACATGTGTGTGGGGGTGGGGGTGTACATGTGTGTGGGGGTGTGCCCTGTCACTCAGCTTGTCTCTCTTTGGTCTTCCCTATATAGCTATAAGTTGATAGTAACAATACTTAACACCTTATTTACTTTAATAGTTTTTAATCACAGCATAATACATTTATATCAATTTTTCTGTGGCAGTTTGCTAAAAAAATCCACCATCAGTGCCTTTAACTGAGTTTGGTGGCAAGCTGAAAGTTTCTTTGCTGGTGTCTGTTTAAGAAAGTGTTCCTTTGGTTGGAAGGAAAAAGAAGCCCATTCAAAGTCCTTCGAATGCAGAAGCAAGGAACGGAGTTTCATTAGGGGATAATGAGCAATCTCACGGACAGCCCAAAACAGGAAACCCAGTGCTGTCAGACCCAGGAAGGACCAGAAGAGGGAAACAGCAAGTGATTCCGTGGGATCATGCTGTCTCTGACTTTCTGTCGGGGGCCATGTGTGGCACATCTACAGTTAACTCTCTTCGCTGCACAGCTCAAACTCGTGAAAAACAGGCTCTCATCTTTGGGCTAGTCAATCAGCAGCCCTCAGTGAGAAGTCAGATAGCACTTTCTTGGCCACTTGAATTGTCCTTCACCAGATTATGGTCCTGAACTCTGGGGAGAAGGACATGTCTAGGAAAGAACCCTCCCACTCAATTACTATCCTAACCACGTACAACTCACTGATTTTAACAAAAACAAAGCAAATCAACAATTTACTGGAAACCATTTATAATCTGATTTTTCTCCCTTGTGTGTAGGAGAAAAAAGTATATGAAGGGGCTCACAGAGTTGTCAGAATCGAAGCTCTCACACCTCGCTCCCGGTACTGCGTAGTGGCTGAAATATATCAGCCCATGTTAGACCGAAGCAGCCAGAGAAGTGCAAAGAGATGTGTGGAAATCCCAAGAATTGATATGGACAGTTCTGCCATACAGAAATGAGAGGCATTTTGAGAATGGCACGCCTCGTGTTTGCATAATCTTATTCAAAGTCATTTTCATATTTTCTTAGAGCAGTGGTCACCATTACTTTCAGGGACTTCTTAGTTTATCCATTCCTTCTTTCTCTGTATGTCTCTTGCAAAATAAACTTGAACAACACCCCTTAAAAATTAGAATTTAAAGAAGAAGCAAAGAATAAAGGACTCTATGAAATACAGAACTTTACTTCTAAATGTAACATTCCTAACTTCATTCTTCTACAACAGCAAAATAAAAATTAAGAACCAAGCATTAATAAGCATTTAATAAAATGGTGAGATAATTTTGTTACCATTACAGCTGAGGGAATCCTGAAGCAATCATATTTGTCACTCCATTGGGCCACTTCAATTTGATGTAGACATTGCTATTTAAAATTTTTATATGAATGAATATTTTTCTGTATGTTTCTATTTTATATGACTACCCTTTTCATACATTTATTTTCCATTATGAATCATTTCTACTTTGTGAATCAAAATTTGTTTTAGATTCTAGCCTATGAAAAAAAGGGGAATTTTTAAAAAAAGCTTCTCATGATCTCTAAATCAATATCTCACTGAAGATGATGAACAATAATAGATAACTGTTGAAAAATGGCAGTATAATTTCCCCTCATTTAACACATACTCACATTAAGTTTATCTTTTCTTTCTTCCTTTGTTTAAAATATTGCCTTGGAAAAATTTGTTCTTATCTTGAAATTAGGTATAATAATTTTAGCCATAAATAGAAAAAGACTAGTTACCACACTAACTAGTAAATTTCACACTAATAACTCAACGCTCCTTGGCAAATGGACTCTTTCTGGTAGCACCTCCCAACCTTTGACATGGGAGGATCTTATGAGTGACAGTTTAATTGGACACAGTCAGGTCCATGTAGGGCGCTCGCCCGCCTTTATGCTGGAGGCTTGCAGTGGGTGGTTCATTTGTCTGGGTGAGAGACTGGTACAGACAGTTTTATTTTGTTTTGAGATTAAAAAGCTAAATTGAAGCCCTATGAACCCCATTGCCTCTCATAAGGAAAGACAGGATGGCCTAAGACTCAGAAAGCTGCCTTCCTCACTTTGGGGTCAGTCCTTACATGTAGGAGGAGATGTGTATCAGAGAACATTTGCACAATTGCACATGAAAATTGCCCCAAAATGTGATTTCAAACATTACAATCGGTACTTCTGGTTATACACAATTACTCACAGCAATGTATGGATTACAAGTTATTCACAAATGCATGGGGGAGATTTAAAAAAAAAAAAACCCCAGAGCTAGAGAATTGGTTTCATTGCTTTCTTTTGTGGTCAGAAAACTGACTCGAGAAAAAACTAGAGACTGAAAAAAAATGACTTTTAACTCTGTTTTTGAATTATACATTTAAATTTTTCTTTTTCTTTTTTTTGTTTATTACTTTTTCAACCCTTTGTTCTTTTGGGAGTAGGGTGAAGAATTGAGAGAGACGTGATAGGTGGGGAATAGAGACTGGATGTGTAACAGCATCTCAGTGTATGAAACTCAGTAATACTAAAGCCTGATAATAAAAAGGGAATTACAGTTGCCTCATGGAAGTTATTTAGGTAACATCAGGTTTTGCTTCTATTTTGTTTGTTTTGCTTTGGTTTTGCCTTCATGCCTGAGGACTTAGGCATGCTTAGGAAAGTAGAAAATACTTCATGAAAAAGAGGAATTGTCACATTCTGCATCATGTTATGAATACATTGTCATATTATTTTAATAAATATTTTAATTTTTTGCTTTTAATTTTGAAATATTTGTTATTTGGGCTTTTAAAGGGAGAACACAATGCTTAAGTCTGTCAGATGAAGTCCTTCTTAGACACCTTAGCCCACACTAAGTTCCAGCCAGGGAAGACCAAACAGTAAACACCAATGCTTTTGGCCAGGCAGTCATAAGAGTGAAATTGCCATTTGATCACAGGGCATGCTCAGTGAGTGCCTGGAGTGACTGTCAGGCCAAAAGCATTGGCGCCATCTTTGTCTCCTCCATTTCTTTGACTTCTGTATTCAATGCATCAATAAATCCTATTGGATCTACCTCAAAATATGACATGTTATACAACCACTTTACTCCAGGCCATCATCATGTCCCAGCTGGATGATGACTGCAGTCACCTCACTGGCCTCCTGCTCTACCAACCTTACTATAATCTCAACAAGATAATCAGACAGAACTCTCACATGTGAACCGTAGACCCCCAATAGCTTTCCATCTTGTATCCAACAGCCTCATAATGGTCTCCCAAGCCCGAACAAGCTGTTTCCTGTTCTCACTGACTCTCACATGTCATTCTTCCCTCAGTCTCACCTTGCTTACTTTACTCTAGAACACCAACTGCATTGCTTGCTCCTAAATATAAATTCTTGGCTTCAAGGTGACCAACTGTTTTCTGGAAGGCTGAGCCCCTGGTTTCCATAGATCGGTCTCTCAACTCCATCAGGTCTTTGCTAAAACGTCCCTTGATCACTCATATTTCCCTGGTCACCTGCCCCCTGCAGCAATCTATACCCCTCATTTTTTTCATAGCACTTGAACCACCTGACCACTATGTTGTTTACTCCTTGATCTTCTTTATTAGTTATCTTTCCCCTCATCTACTAGAAGGGAAAGGCAGGTATAGATTGGATATGAAGTATCCTCCAAAAAAGGCTCATGTGATGAAGGCTTGGTCCCCAAATAGTGGTACTATTGAGAGGTGATGGATCATGAAGGTGCTGACTTCAGTGGATTAATTCACTGATGAGTTCATAGCTGAATAGGCTATTAGGGAGTAGGACCTAATTGGAGGAAGCAGTTCATAAAGAGTATGCCTTTGTAGGGTATACCTTGTCCCTAGACTCTTCCTCTCTCTATCTATTTCTGCTTCTTGGTTGTCATGAGGTAGTCAGCTTCCCTCCAGCCATGACGTATTGCTTAACACACAGCCAAGTGACTATGGACTGAAATCACTTCTACCATTGATTTTATCAGGTACTTTGTCACAATGACTGAAACTGATTAACACAGCAGGGGCTTTTTGACTTTGTTTTGCTTTGATTTAATCTCAGAAAGCCTATTTCATCTTGCACTTGATCAAAGTTCTTTGAGGGAGGGACAACAGAAAGGATCTGACCTCTGTTGTGCTGATAGATGTACCTGCTGAGTGATACCCGCAGGATAGAGATAGGACTGAAGGGAAGGTTCTGGTGGACCTGCAAGACATGAAGTTTATTTAATAGCAAGGGCCATGTAATTCTGGGGAGATGGCTAAATAACAGAGAAGAATATATAGAGCCTAGAGAGGGGTTAAGCCCTCTAGGATCTATAGCTCCCCAGTAAGAAATAGGGCTATGAATATTGCTTAGAATAAGGCTTTCCAGGTCAGAGGCCTTTTTTGCCATCCTCATAGCAATTTGACTCTCTTCCCTTCCTCCCCCTGGTTCCCCAAGCATCTGTCTTTTGGGGAATCTAGCTAAAGGCCTGCCTGCTTACCAGGAGCCACCAAATGGTGACAAAGAGTCTCAGCCCAATCCTGTGCCTTGACTGGGAGAGTAGATGGAGTTACAGGCATTTTCTCATACACATCTCTCAGCAAGCCCAGGTTTCAGTCTGTCTGAGCTCTACATTTGCACATACACTATTTCTTCAGTTCTCACACTGGCCCATAGGTCATCATGATTGTTCCTACATTATAGGTGAGCCTCTGTAGGTTAAGTGATTGGCCAAAGTCTGGAAGCCCACCTATCTAATTCCACAGCTTAAACTTTTAAAATCTGATCCTCTGTAGCTTCTTCCTCGTGTTTGAATAGATTTCCTCTTATTTCCTTGAATAATATAATGTTAACATTGCCCTATTGACATTGGGGACTTTTTTCTAGTGTCCACATATTGAAGGGCAAGTGTTGACTCTTAGGACAAGAAGGCATGGAAATAGAGAGGTCTGAGGGAGTAGTAGACAGCTGGTGGCTGATAATTGCCTCTCAGGGACAAGTAAGAGCAGTACCTAAAAGTGCCTACACAATTGAAAGTTAGCATTCACTAGAAAGATCCCTTTTTTGGGAGGTACTGATGTTTGAACTCAGGGCTTTGCACACACTAGGCAAGTACTCTACCACTTTAGCCATGTCCCCAGTCTTTTTGCTTTTAAAGAGCAACTCAAACTTTTCACCTGGCCACCCTCAGACAGAGATCCTCCTACCTCCACCTCCCATGTAGCTGAGATCACAGGCATGTGCATCTAAGTCTGCCTGGCTTGTTCCTGAGATAGGGTCTTGCTAACTTTTGCCAGGCTATTTTGAACTGAGATCCTTCTATCTCCACCCTCCAAGTATCTATCTGGGATTACAGGATGGACCACCATACCCTGCCCTTGGAAAGACCTCTTAAGTCAGCATTACCCAACATTCAGTCACTAATAAGTTCCATATCTAAATAGCTTTTAAGGCAAGTGTCAATAAATTCTATGATACTTTGATTTCAAGCAAAAAGGAGAAATTTTCTAAATTAAGTTCCAAGTTTTAAAGTAAGAAAAAAATAAAAAAATTGGTGAGATCAAACCTGATCTCAAATGAATTCCAGATAAGCCTTTTAAAACTATAATCTTTTGAAATTCTTACACTGGACAACTTGGTTTCCTTAACTGACATATCATTTACCAAAGGAATAGTTGACTTTGGAAAGCAACTGTTTTTCATTATTTGGGCAGGTTTTCTTGGTTTATTTTATCCTTCTGTTTGAGATCATGATCTCTGGAAAGGAAAATAGGCCTTTGTGCTTTAAACAATAGCAAGACTTCCCACATAGACAATTGCTGGATGTGCCCTGGGCCAAACCACCAAAACCTCTCCTGTTCAAGGAGAGACATTTTGGTGACAGTGTTCCCAAGACATACATTTTCTCTTCAGCTGTGACCTCAATTCCTTTTGGTACTTCAACAGCAGCCACCCTCTCTTAACACACAGCTGCTGG